CGCTCCTGTTCGGTGATTCAAAAAATTTGAGTGATTGTGACTCTATGTTATTCTTTACTCTATGCTTTAATTTTAGGGTGAGTAGGCTTTGCCCGAAATGTGTTTAAAGAGGCTAAGCGCAATGTGTATACCAAATTTGGTCGAGCTCGTTTAAGTAGTTTTTGAGTTACGCATATCTCATAAAAGTGGGCGGTGCCACCCTCATTTTCCTAAAATTTTTTGAAAGCCAACTTTTTTTTCTAAAAACCAATTGTATGCTCAACACTGCTCAAAAGCTCTGAAACTGCGGTCTATAAACAATACAAATTCTAGGCCGTATTTAAGAAAAGTTGCCAAACTTCGAAATTTTTTATGCGATTGCAATAAATCAGTTTATTTGAAAATAGATTTAATTTTAGATAGTACTCCTTATTTTGAAATTGTGGAAATAAGTGATGTCAAAATTAAAAAAAAAATAAGAAAAGATTATTTTTTTTTAGTTTTCCCGATGAAAAATGGCAACAATCCTAGTCAGACAATAGAGTATTATATACCACTTTAAAGGCCTATATGTGTTCTTCTTAGATCATATTCGATCTTTGAAATTGAATCAAAAATCTGCAAAATCGTATTTTCAGACCTAAATCGACAGTTCGAGACTTCTAAATGACATTTAAAAATCTATAAAAATAGGCTATAATATTCCTCATAAAAACGAGTAAAATTCGGGGGTAGGGTCTTGAAATTTCTAAAAAAAACATTTTCGTTGGGCACCCTAACGTACACATATGTGTATGTGCGAACATTTATGACAAAGAAGAGAGCGTGCACATTCATAATATGATACACTGAACATACGCTAATTTATTATATGGATAAAGAAAAGGATAGAGGTGAAGGTAAAAATAAAAACAAAAATGTGAATGCAAAAATGAAGATCAAGTTAAATTTAAACATTTTACTTATGTATATAAAGGCAAAGGTGAAGGGGAATATGTAGATGAAGAAAATGATAAACATTAAGGTTGAAACAAGGATAAATATTAAGAAAAAGATGAGCATGAAAATACCGAAAAAAATAAAGTTCACTATAAAGGAAGTAAGGTTAAAATAAAGGTAATTATAAAGAATATGATATAGATAGAGACCCAACCTTGGAACTATTTCGGGATTTTCGGTATTCTCACCCACCCACCCTGGTGCGAAATAAAGTCAATTGACATTATAACCTTAGCTGGCTAATATATTTTAGGACGAATGGATAAGGATTGAGTCCAGAGCTTGCATATTCTGATCTTTTGATTAAAAGATATAACGAAATTTGATTGAAGAATGCTTTATTAAATCAATTCAACATAGTTTTTACC